AGGTCCAAAGACTGCCATCATATCACTGCCAGTACAATCCAATTGAATTGGTGTGGGGCATCACTAAAAACTACTATGATAAACATGCATGTAAGACCACCGACGAAGCCAGCGTTTTACATTGGCAAGATGCACTAAACCAAGTCAATGAGGAACAATGGCGGAAATGTATTGAGCACACTGAAAAAAAATTTTAGAATCATATGAAATAGAACAATTTATTGATGAAGTAAGACCTTTAATTATTCGTACAGATGAAGAGATAGATGAATCGGATAGCGAGTCAGATAGTGATGATACTTGTCCATAGATTAAGACGTAGATGGAAAAATTAACACAAAAGGGAACTAACCACCAAAAAAACACAAAAAAAATAAAACAAAAACCGCATGCAGGAGAGAGCCGAAGGCACGCCGCACGACGCTTTTGAATGCAAGCACCAAAAAAATTAGATTGGCAAGTAAGGTAGATTAAGGACATGAGTGGGTATTAGACGACGTATGAAAGAATTCGATGGTTGCTCGCTCTCTACTGCACTTGGTGCAGAAAAGGGAAAGCAAGTATCGGCACACACAACCATCATTAAATCGCCGAACAATTGTTTTGACCGGTAGTGATAAAGCCAAATGGGCTAACCTACCACTTAAATGTAATTACACGAAAATCTCCCATTGCCCGACGGGGAATACCGCGAAATAGTCGAGACCTGGCTCCAAAGACCAGGGAGCGGAGAAAAGCCGGGACTGGTTGTTCCGCAGGAGGACAACCTACCTCGGTGGGATTGGGAAGGTGTGTGTGGAAAGTAGGAATAAGTCTTTGTTTTATATAGATATATATTTTTATAGATATATTTATAAAATATATAAAAATTAAAATATAATACAAAATTTTGAACACCCAGTATTAACATTTGCAAATTTTTGTATGCTTAAATAAAAATAGAGTTTAGTACACGCTGAAAAAGAATTTTTGTTTTTTCAGCATAAATATTAACCATAATATTATTTTTTGTAGTTGCATGTGTAATCTGAAAAAATTTTCTAAAATTTTAAATATCTCAAAAACGGCTATTTTTTCAAAAATGGTACCCCAATAAAAATCGATCCAGAATTTTACGTAAATTCTAAAAAAAATAACAAAAAGCACAGTTTCTATTTAAAATATGAAACTTAATGGCGACTTCCAGTACAACTAGGAGTGCTAGAAGAATGCAAATATTTATAAAATGAAGAATGCTTTGCATAATCCATTATTCCAAGTTTGCAGAAACCAGTGACGACCAGAACTTTGAAAACTTTTAACCAACATGTTGCTTGAATGACCCTGTATATTTCATACTCAATGTTTATCAATTTACATTATGACAGTGGCGGCCGGTCAGGGTAAGCAGGGTCGGCAGTGCCGACCCACATCTTTATAGATATTATAGATTATTTTAATATTTAATTTAATCAGTATTTCAATAAATAATTGTGGCAGCTAATCAGTTGATGTCATTTGTTTTTGTGAACTAAACAAATATCTGTGAGATAATAAAAACTAAATTTTATTCTTGGTTTTTAAAAGAATTCGAGCAATCTGAGCGTTAAGTGGTCCTTGCGTCGACACTTATAAAACTCAAATAAATGTTCCGATATCGGAGACATCCATCCGCCTATGTTTTTTCGGCTAGCCGATCCCAACCTTGACTTTACTTGTAAAATCAACGGAATATTGGTTGATTAGCAACCAAATATACATCTCTTTCCATATGAACTTAATTACTAAGTCCGGCGAATTTAAATTTGCCGATGTTTCATTTGGATTGGTGATTGGTCGCGAACTGTACATTGCGAGCGTGGGACGAAATGTTATTTCATATATGTAGTAAACTGAAGTGATATTCAGTGCACGAACTAGCCTATCTTTTTGATTTATTTTTATTTTCTAAAGTAATACTGTGATACGTTACGTCTGCCGTAAATAGTTAACGATTTAAGGGTTTTTTGACATATTAGAAGTTTTTTTTTAATTAAAGTGTAAACAATTTCAGTAAACACCTAAAAAATGCAAGCCATGGGAGAAACTGTAAGTATTGATCAGTCTGATATTGTAAATTATATTTTGCTAATGGGTTTTCATCAATTCCATACGAATAACAAATTGTTATTAAAAATAAGGGGCGTCCTTTGCCTAAAATGTCCCGGCTTATAAATATTAGTGCTGGTAAGGGAATAGATCATTTTCAGATTATTGGTACAGCAAGTACTCATGGCTTACCGGGAGTGAAATAAAAAACAAACTTTTTTGTTGGTCTTGCATTTTAGTTTCGACAAATAGGGGCAAACATCAAAATCCGTGGTGTGAATCTGGTTACGATAATTTAAAGGAATTATTTAGGGCTTTACATAAACATGTTATTTCGAAAGATCATACTTACAGCCAGATTAAATTAGATTAATTTAGAAAACAAAATATCCATGTTTCATTAGATAATGCCCAACGTGAAAATGCTATTAAACATAACGAAATTGTAAAAAATAATAACGCAGTTTTACGTCGTTTAATTGATATTGTAATTTTTTTAAGTTGTCAGGAATTATCTTTTAGGGGACACGATGAATCGAAGCATTCGTTAAATCAAGGTAATTATAGAGAACTAATAAAAATGTTTGAGAAATACGATTTGGAATTTTCTAACTTACTTTCTGATTCGAAGACATTTAGCGGTGTATCTAAAATAATCCAGAATGAATTAAAAGAATCAATTTACATATTTATTATACATTATTTAATAAAAAGTTACATTTTGAGTAACGTTATTGAATCTGAGATTCAGGAAACCATTTGCTTTTCACTAGAAGGAGATGAAACTACCGACATATCATGTCATTCACAATTATCAATTGTTGTTCGATACGCGTTACGTGGTAATATCTATGAGAGGTTTTTAGGTTTTACAGACGTGAATAAAAGCCATAAGGCAGAACATATTTTTGGTGTTGTAAAGGACAAATTAAAATTTTTTGATATCAAAAATAAATTGGTAGGGCAAACTTATGACGGCGCTGCCGTGATGTCAGGTGAATTAAATGGTCTCCAGGCAAAATTTAAAACTATTGCACCGCAAGCTTTATTTACTCATTGTCATGCGCATAGAATGAATTTAGTTTTGCAACATACATGTAAAAAAATTAAAGAATGTCGTCTGTTTTTGCCAGTTTAAGCGGATTTGCTTCATTTTTCTCAAGCTTGCCTAAACGGACTAATGTTTTAGAACGGTTTGTTTCGACAAAAATGCCAACTGTTTGTCAGACGCGATGGAATTTTAAATCTCGGTTAGTTTTCACTGTAGCAGATTTTCGTGAACAGCTTTTGAAAGTTTTTGATTTTATTATTGAATGTGGCGATTTTGAAAGTGATGATATCTCGATCCATAAAGCAATCGGTTTGAAAACTTTATTAAGTGATTATTCTTTTAACATACTTTTAAATATTTTTAAGAAAGTGTTTACCCAAACCGATTTGATATTCAATGTTGTTCAAAATCAGTTAACTGACATTATTCATTCCAAAAATAGAATAACAAGACTGGTGCAAAATCTCAGTCAGATTTTCGTAATGATAGTAATTTTCAGTATATACGCAGTGACGTTTTGGACTCGCTTGATATTTCCGAACCCCCCAAAAAAAGATAAAGGCATGACACAGAAACAGATCTCGAAAAAAGAGTATATTTTGAAATTTTGGATACTATAATTATGCAAATAGATACTCGTTTTTCGAATTTTGAAGATTTGCAAATTTTTGACCTCTTTGACAATTCAAAATTTAAAAGTTACGCCAAAGAATTTCCAAGATATTTATTAGACAGGTTGATTAAAAATTATCCATCATTCTTTAATAAAATAAAATTAGAAAATGAATTAAAAGTTTTATATGCTGATCCAAATATTTTCGGAAGGTGGGATAAGTTACAAGTTATATATTGCAATTCATTACAACAAACTGTTACCGAAATTAATAAATTATTGTCATTAATTCTCTCATTACCACCAACGTCTGCCTCAAATGAACGAGATTTCTCTTGCCTCAAAAGAATCAAAATTTATTGTCGAAATACCATGAAACAAGAGAGAATGTCAAGCTTGTCTCAAATGTCAATAGAAAAAAAACTTTTAAAATCTCTTCAAAACTCTAATAAATTTTACGATGACGTTATTACCCATTTTGCTACTTCCAAACAACGTAGACTAGAGTTTATTTATAAACATGTTTAGGTTCTAAATTTATAGGAAAAAAACAAAAAAAACAAAAAAAAGAAAACAAAAAATCTCCTATGATGATTGAAGTCTTTATTAGACGGTATACCTATCTGAGGAGACAAAAAATACCTTGCCGACCTTGTCTCTCAAGCCACGAGCCGCCACTGCATTACGATATTCAATTATTATAAAACATAATACAAAGTTATTTTATTAAAAAAATCCCTAATGTGGTATTATCAAATTAAGAAAACCGTACATTTTTAATTTGAAAACCGCTGACTACCTGAGGCAATTACGACGTACGGTGATTTTTTGCAGATAAATGACATAATTCACTAATTCTTTTATATTACATCTCTTTTTTACTTAGTCCCCAAAACGCGGCTTATCCGTGTACAATAGAATACAGTAAACAAAGAGATCAATATGAGCAATATGATAAAGGACGCTAATTATTACTGGGAACTTCTAGGTGTGACTATATTGTAACAAACACTTGATTTACTATACTTCGCTGATTGTTTAAATTTTAAATTCATTTACGTGTCTTGATTTATTAGTTGTTTTAAAAAGAGTTAATATGACCACTGATTATTTACTTGATGTTCGTTATCTTGGGAAAATATATCTATTTACTTTTTTTCTTTACAACTAGGTCTAAACAGGTAGAAGTAAAATCCTTTACCTTTTTAGTTCAAAATCTTTCACTAAAACTTAATTTTAGTTAGCTTAAATTATGTACGAATTTCTTACCTGTAGCTTTGTACGGTGTCAATTCCAGTTTGACATCTTCCCATTCTCCCATCATTTTATTTAAGGTCTGTTCTATGGTATATTCCTTAGTAGCTTTGTCGGCAATATTGCCCATTTTGTCTGCATGTTCTCCAACGCCCATAGTTAGGCAATCTTGGAAGGTAATACCAGTGGTGAAATCCAATAAAATACCTGAAATAGATTATTATAACAGAATAATTATTATATACTTATACTAAAGATAAAAATAATCCAACAGGGTGGAAATTAAACAATGTAATATATTTTTTCTACTCTCTTACTAGTAAATTGTATATTACCTACTATTTGGATGCTAAGTAAATGCATCATAACAGATACTGACACGTAATGACTAGCACGTAATAAAAAAATTACGCTTTAGTTTTATAAAAATGTGTAATATCACATAAGCCTTGTAGTCGGTTGGTCGAGTTACCATGGAAACGGATTCTTCTTCTTAACGTGCCCTATCAAGTCCCCTTGACGTTGGCGATTAACATGGCGAAACTGTCTCTGTCTCGAGCTATTCTAAATAGTTGCTCAGCTTTCTTTATTCCTGTCCACTCCCTGATATTCTTCAACCAAGAGGCCTGCTTTCTACCAATTCCTCTGCGTCCTTCTATTTTACCCATCATAATAAGTTGAAGAATATTATATCGGTCTCCCCTTACTACGTGTCCAAAATAGGCCATCTTTCTACATTTGATGTTATCAAGCAGCTCGCGAGCAGCATTTGCTCTTTCAAGGACTGCCACATTTGTCAGCATAGCCGTCCATGGAATTTTTAGTATACGTCTGTGCAGCCACATCTCAAAGGCCTCCAGACGATTAATCGTAGATATTTTTAATGTCCATGCTTCGCCACCGTATAAGAGGACTGACTAAATGTAGCATTTAACCATGCGCTTTCGAAGTTGAAGTTGCAAGTTATCATTACAGAAGAATGACCTCATTTTGAAAAATGTCGTGCGGGCTATCTCGATTCTACATTTTATCTCTTGATCTGGATCTAGTTGTTCAGTAATATGGCAACCAAGATATTTAAAACTGGACACTCTTTGAATTATATGACCATCAACATATAATCGTGCATCTTGATGTGCTAAACGGCTAAACACCATGTGTTTTGTTTTTGAACAGTTTATGTTTAGGCCTAACTCTCTTCCCACTTTATCAATCGCATTTAAAAGGCATTGTAATCCATTTATGTTAACACTTAAAATAACTGTATCGTCTGCATATCTGATTATATTTATCAGAATTCCATTAACTTTCACGCCCCATTCCAAATTATGCAGCGCTTCTTTAAATATTCTATCTGAATATAAATTAAATAATAGTGGGGATAGTATACAACCCTGTCTGACACCTCTTTGTATTTTACATATTTCTGTTGATTTTCCGTTTATGCAAGCTGTCGCTGTTTGACGCCAGTATAACTTTTCTATGAATCGTATGTCTTGACTATCAACTCCTTTATCTTTTAATATTGTAATTAATTTGTGATGCTGTACTCGATCAAAGGCCTTTTCATAGTCAATAAATATAGCAAAGACGTCTTTCCTTTGATCTCGATATTTCTGCAGTAATACATTTAGTGCAAAGAGGGCAGTCCCGAGTTCCCAGTCCATTTCTGAAGCCAAATTGTGTTTCATCATGATCTTTTTCACATTTATCTCTGATTCTACTGTGGATGATGCGTAGAAATATTTTCAAAGTGTGGCTCATAAGGCTTATCATTCTATTCGCTCCGTGCGTGACTGATGCGACACCTACCGCCTTCATCTGACAATTTGGGAATCCCAATTTTCAGGTTAAACTTATGACATATGTTTGACATTGTTAAATACATGCGAAATTGACAATTATTAATAAATTAGTTTTTTAGCTATATTTTAAAGTTTATGTACAAAATAAATGTAGTATTAAAAACTGGGTTTCTCAAAATTCATCATAATATACCTTTTCAACTCCAAACGGAAAAGAAAGGGAAAAATCTAGTACTGGCAAATCAAGTTTTTCACGCAAAAGAGCATATAATTAAAAACAATAATAGTAAAAGTTAGGATATAAAAGCTAAAGTCATCTGCAGTTAGCTTGTAGCCTTATGAAATATCATTCAAGGTAAATTATTTAAATTTTTTCTATTTCTATTGCATAAAAATGAAACTATGTAATATTTACTTTTTCATATTAATAGCACGAATTCATCTTTTTCTTTTTTCTAATTTATATGTAATTTTTGGGAACCTATGAAAACTACAATCACCATTTTTGCTATTATTAGCACAATTAAATACGCAACGTGTATTTGCACGCATTTTTGATAAAATTTATGCGTAAAAATATTTTGTCCAATATTCCCATTTTGTCATATTTCGCCGCTACGCACGCTGGCATCGTTTCAATGTATCCCTACCATGGTCACGCACGGAGCGAATAATCGCTACAGTTTTTCGGACGTTGTTTTTTTGGTAGTGTTATGAATTCGGACTTTAACCAATCTTCAGGGATATCACCAGTCGAATAAACATCATTGAAAAGTTTGACCAGTATTCCAATGTTCTCCTCACTTATAAGCTTTAACATCTCTGTCGGTATGTTAGCAGGGCCAACGGCTTTCTTGTTCTTTGCTAACTTTATAGCATGCAGTATTTCTGATTTTAGTATTTCTAGTCCTTCACTTTCAACTAAAGTCTCCAGTTCTTCGGGTCTATCATCATTATACATTTCACTCATATAATTACACCAGGTTGTTCGAATTTCATGTTCGTCTATTATCATTTTTCCCGACGAATCGGTTATAGTATGTAAAGTTTTTTTATGATAAAGACCAGCTACTTCTCTAACTTTTTTAAACATATTAAACGTATCATGTTTTTCATTCAACTTTTCTACTTCCTTGCATTTATTCTCCATCCATTTTTCTTTAGCAACCTTTATTTTTTGTTTAATTAGTTTCTGTTTTTCCTTATATTCTGTCTTGTTACCTTTCAGTTTCCTTCCAGGAAACGGATTAACAGACGTTATTTTGACAAAATCCACAAGGAAAACAATTCCTGCAGCTTGCTGTATACCACGTATCACAAAAAGAGGTTAGATCTTTGTAAATGGGTATATTTAAAAACCCTTAAAAGGGGTACATAAATTACACGAACGTTTTCGGAATAAAAATTCCATCATCAGGTTTAAAATGCAAATTGCATTTTAAATTAAAAAAAAAATTTAAATATAATCATATGTAATTTAAAACCTTTAAATTACATATGATTACTAAAGATTGTACATAATGTTGTTAATCACATTTGATGTTTGATATTAAATTAAATTTGACTTCAGGTAACATACACCCATATTTTAGGTGAATTCCAGGGGCCGGAGAGTAAACCTCTTCAAACGGGTTACGAGGTAAACCTCTTCAGTTACCAGCTGGAGCCTGTTTGAAGAGGTTTACTCTCCGGCCACTGCAACTCACCTAAAACATGGGTGTATGTGACCTGAAGTCAAATTTAATTTAATATCAAACATTAATTGTGATTAACAACATTATGTACAATCTTTAGTAACCATATGTAATTTAAACGATTTTTACCCTGATATTTTGGTGGCTCAGGCATGTCAATTTGCATTTAAGGGTTTTTAAATATACCCATTTACGAAGATCTAACCTCTTTTTTTATTTTGACAGATTAAAAAATTATTAATATGTCGGTGTAAATATAGTAGTAATTTAAATACAGTAAAACCTCCCTTAACCAAAACCTTTTTAACCGAATCATCGTTTAACCGAAACGGCTGACAGTTTCAATAATTTCGTCAATAAAAAGTAAATTTTTATCGCAAAATGTAAATTCCATCAATTTCACTTACCGATTGATGCGTTATGTGTGTTGGGAAATCAAAAAACCAAGAGCTCTAAAAGAGATTTGAGAAAAAGCACTTCCAGTTTTTTATAGAAGCCAAAAAAACTCATGGTCGACCACTTTGTTTTCAGAATGGTTCGAAAATGAATTCGTCCCAAGCGTAAAATCCTTTTTAAAATAAAAAAACCTTCCCATCAAAGCATTATTGCTTGTTGACTCAAAATCTATATAATAGTGATAATTGTCAGATTTTTGGCACCAAATTTCACGAACTTAATTCAGCTGTTAGACCAGGGACTAATAGAGACATTCGAGAGACATTATAGAGGAGCATTCTTAAGACATCTGTTATTACAGTAGACAAATGAATCCAAAAGTGTTCCTGAAATCCTCAAATGTTCAACAATGAAACATGTTGTTTATCAGTGTGCTGAGTTCTGGGCCAAGATCAAATCTTCAACTTTGGAAAAATGCTGGAACTAACTTTTTGCTAGGATTTTGATTGACGATCCTGAAGAAGAAAATGGCAAAGAAACGACAGAAGAAATTAAATCTTTAATAAAAAGTTTGCCGGGATGTGACGACATTAAATAAGAAGAGATAAGTGAGTGGTCAGCAGCCGATGATTTAGAAAGTGAATTCATCGACCAGGACATCATTGATATGGTTCCTCATCCAGACAACCTGAGCGTATCAGACGACGAAGATAACGACCCAACAGACAACAGGCAGCATGAGACCCCTGATTCGATCAACATTCCATCGAATAGAACAGAACAACTTAGAACGAGATTCTACAGCATACACAAGGAATAATATGAGGAAAATAACAATACCGTACATGAAAGGATTATCAGAAAAACTTAAAAGGATTAGAAATAAATTCAACATTTCAACAACGTTTAAAACAACAAACACGTTGAGATCTATTTGGTCCAAAACCAAACCTAACAATGAACAAGAAAGGACAAAGAATTGCATTTATAAAGTACCTTGTGAATGCGATCAGTTTTATTTGGGTGAATCATCAAGGCCATTAAATGTTAGAATAAGTGAACATCAATCTTATATTAAAAATAGAGAATTTGATAGATCTCAAATCTGTAAACACGCATGGGATAATGAACATAGGGTTCAATGGAATAATTCAAGTGTAGTCCTAAAAGAAACGGATGGTAAAAAAAGAAAAATCAAAGAAGCGGCTCTAATTATGCTAAATGAGGCCAATTGTGTCGCAAATTCCTCGGCAGAATGTAGTAGGATCTGGTTACCAATATTGAAAGAGGAAGTTATTAATAAGAAAATACC